TCAGCAGTTTGTCCAGTTTTGCGATCTCCACAGCTGGACCCTTCTGTACTTCTTGCCCCTTCTTCTCCTGGGGAGGGGGAGAGAATACATGGGGAGGAATGAGGAAACATAGGCTACCTCTCTCAGGTGCCAGCACTGCTTCCTCTGCCCAGCCTGCCCCAGGTGTGCCCTGGCCTTTCCTGCCTGATAAATTCTGGATTTTTGCCTTCCCCAGTCCCACCATGATCCCTCCTCAATTCAGGTGACACCTATAAGAAGTCATAGGCTTTGACTCAACCTCAGATGGCCATCGGGTCTTAGAGTATAGGCAGAGAAGAGGGCATCCATCCCCTGACCCTCAGAGGAACTAGTCTTTCCGGTCAGGGAGAGCTGTAGCCCTGAGGAGGGGTAGGGTCTGACTGTTGGGAGTCTGATTAAGGGTGTGTGTTTGGGGGAAAAGGAGTGTGAACAAAGCCACAGGTGCCCTTACCTAGTTACTCATCAAATTCTTCAGGTCAGGTTGGGAGTGGGGTGTCATTTGGGACCAAGCCTCCTATATCATATATACCCTGGATTGGGGAGGGTGTCAGGAGACTCATGGGAGCAGATGAGCCATTCCATGTGACTCCAGGTGCCACTGGATAGGACTGTCCCTCAGCATCCTGAGTTCATTACCCTTCACCCCGGCCTGTAAAGCACTCAAATGCTGGTAATCAGACCCCAAGAAAAAGGAGGTTGGTGCACTGGCGTGTGCATCTCTCACAGACCTCAAGAACTCCTTGGCAGACCAGCCCATCCCATCTTCCCTACTGTCCAGGCAGTGGGGTGTGGGCTGTGTTGGGGCAGGCTGGGCAGCTCCATTTTCTGCCTTCACTCTGCTCCTGGTCTCCCACCCTCTCAGCCACCTGTGCCCACTGCTCATTGGCACCTGCCCCAGCCTTGCTTGCTAAGGGCCCAGCCTTAGGCTGGCCTGGGCTGTAAGGTGGGGAGTGCACAGGGCCAGTGGACCCTTCCTGGCCCCATTCTGGCTGCTAACACTTTGGAGCTCAGATTTCCTCATGCTGTGACCCCAGCACCTGCTCCCAAATCTGTCTCCCCAGTGCCTTCGCCATGACCAGTCCCACTCTCCTCTCCTCTCAAGGCAATAGACAAAGAGGCCTTTTTCTTCTTCGCTACTCCCTCCCAAGTCAAGCTCAGGTTTTCTTCTTAGCCTCACCCCGGGGACCTGGTTTTTAGTTCCAGCTCTGTCTTTAACCCCTTGTATGACTGAGCAAGTCCCTTGTCTTTCTAAACTTTAGTTTCCTATCTATATAGTAGTTAGGGTAAAAATCCTTAACTTTTGACGTACTGGTGTCTGCCAGGAATCATGGGAAGCTCCCTAGGCAGGGAAGCCCAGGCCTATGTGAGTAAGCCTTCTTGGTAAGGGCAGCATGTCTGCAGCTCACAGAGGGCCAGTGGGGATGCTCAGAGGATTTGCTTTGGCATGAATCACTTGGCTGCTGATAGGGTCAGGTGGCAATTTCACAGACACCTGTAACCCACCTAACTACCCGCCCCCAGCTGTCCACTACTCAGATCCTCAGGGCCCCAGGTACCCAGACACAGGGAGCCCAGCTCTCCCAGTCGTGACTCCCCTTTGTCCTAAGAGGAGTAGGAACTGTGGTGACCCTTGCTTCCCTTGACCAGAGCAGGCAGGGCAGGCTCCCACTCTTAGAGTGTCATGGTTATACCCTTTACCCTAAAAGTGACCATCATCCCTGACAGAGGTTTGTCCAGCTCTGCCAGCTGGAGCCTGGGTCTCTCTCCTCATTAAATTAAGAACAGCTTTTATCTGTTCCACAAATTGTGCTGCCTTCTTCCCCCTCCCTGAGGCCAACTAGCTGGGCTCAGCAAGACATTCAGACCACGCCTGCCAGACTCCCCTCCTCCCCAAGCCCACCACAGCCTCTGGGCCACAGCTGCAGGCGCTTAGCAGCCTTTGAGTATTTATAGCCAAGTCCACCCCCTCCCCCAGCTGGCTACAATTACAGGCCCGGCCAAACTCCCAACCCTTGCCTTCCTGGTCATGGTGGGGAACAGACCCAGCCAGCAACAGAGGGATGGTGCAGGGCTCCCTGTCTTGGTAGGGCCTCAGTGGGAAGAAGTCAGTAGTTGAAGAGACAGACCCCAGCCCTTGCCTCAAACTGCAGTCAGTGCCTCATATTACAACTGGGAGTCATCAGGGAAACTTGGTCCAGCCCTGACCCAGCCCTGATTCTGATCCAGAACCTGGGAGAAGCCAAATTCCATTTCTACTCTTTGCATACAAATGGGCAGAACTGGGCTTTGGGTTCTTGGGTTTTGGAATCCAGGGCTGGGTTCTGGGGCCCAGGTTCTTAAGTCTGAACCTGGACTCATGTCTAGACTTTGAGGTCATGGCCCTGGGTTCTTTGGCCTTTATTTGGGGCCTTTGGGCTCACAAAGCCTAAAGGCAAGGATCTCTGGATCACTAGAGACCCCCAAAACAGAAACCAGAGCTCAAAGAAGGACTACATAGCTGCTGACCTAGTTACCGTCCTCACAGCTCATTCCCTGCTGCCCTGTGTAGACCTACAGCCCTCAGCTCAGGGACCGTTGGCGCGGAGGCCCTCTGTAAGGCTGGCCAATGAAGCAGTAGCTAAGCCCTGAGCTTCTTCTCTGGGTGATCTGTCATACCCACAGCATCCTGCACTCCAAATAAGCCAGTGATGTCCTCCCATGCTACCTCAGACTAACACTCCCTCCCCCGACCCCACTCACCTGATTTCTCCACCAGGGGCACACAGGTGGCTCACATGCAGTACTTTTGTTTTGTTTTGTTAGGCCTTTATGGTATATTTTATTATTTTTCATTTTAATTTATTTTATACATTTAATCCCTATACATCCCTTAGCTTGTAAGTTGAATTTATCCAAAATGAATATACATCCCACCAGAACAGTTGAGGATACAAAACACGTTATCATCAACACATTATAATCCATTTCTATATCCCAAAAATGCCTGCCTATTTTCCTCACGCTGTCCCCTTTCTCCCGTCCTCTTCCCACATGGTCTCTAGCACCTATAATCATTTTCAATGCTTATATGGCCTCTAATCTTTCATTTTCCACTATGCGTTGAAACACTTTTTCTGTTGTCTTGCCTGCCATGGCCAGAACACATGCAGTACTTAAAAACTGACCTCTGTTTCCTCACAAGCCTGCTTCTCTTCCTATACTCCTAATTCAGGCAATGACACTATTGGTATCCCAGTCCTCCCAAGCCAGAAGGCTGGCTGGGTTGCCCCTGGCTCCTCCCCTTTCTCTCATTGCGCCATGCTGAAGACTCTCTTGCAGCAGCCCAGATTTCCAAATCCATACCTTTGGCATCTTGCGCAGGTTGGGTGAGAGCTTGAGGCAGGTGATGTGCCCACGGTCATCTCCCACAATGATGATGGGGTGAATGGGGTTGAACTGCACATGGGTGATCTTATTCTTCTTTTTGGCCACCACGGGCTGGTTGCAGATGGCCTCATACTTGTTGATGGCCAAATCAAACACATGGGCCTATGGAGAAGTCAGTGTCAGCATATTCATGGGTAAAGAGGCCCCTGGCCCTCACTACAGAGGGACCAGCCCCTGGGCTTTCTGGAGAAATGT